AACATAGATGGTAAATAAATAGAAACCATGGAATGAAAGAAAAGAAACACGGGGGAAAATACATATGTAAAAGAAAAGCATTGATTTTCTCACCCTCTGTCTGAATCCCGATAGACGCCAACCAGAGCTTGGGCTTTGTCATAAAAGTTATCCTTAAGTGAGATCACAATACTCTGGAAACTAGATCCGAATTGAGCTTCTCGGTCCATCCTTTCTCCACCACATGATTTCGACCGAATAAAGCTAGCAACTTTGGCCACGTTTAAGTTGTCTAGTGCAGCATCTACTTCGTCCAGTATGAAAAATGGTGAAGGCTTGAAACTGCACACCCCATGGGCAGAGAAGTTAACAAAATCAAATAAAATAAGATTGAGTAATTACTTTTATAAACTCCTTTTTACTTGAGATAATCCATATACAGAACTCCAGGAACCAACAAAAAAAAAAGGAAAGCTTTCATGTAAATCAGAACCAACATCTGTAGCACCAAGCATATAGGAACATAAAGAAAATCTAAAACAAATAGAATATAAAACTTCTGTTCGTGTGCATACCTGTGGATTGCGAATAGCAATGCAAGTGCAGCAACAGTCTTCTCACCACCAGATAGCTGTGACATATCCCGATATCTCTTGGTCGGGGGCATTGCACTGTACTTTATTCCATATAAATAAGGCTCATCAGGGTTCTCCAAATTCAGATACGCAGTCCCACCCACCGCATGTGTGCTACTCACCCCACCCACCGATTGCGTATTGCTCTTTGTGAGTTCATTGTATATTTTGTCAATGTTGCTCGAAATGTGGTTAAAAGCTGCCATAAATAATTCATGCCTGGAGCCAACATGAAAAATCAGTGGCATCACTATGAATGTAAAGATGTATTTAAAAAAAAAAAAAATTATTCAATGCATACCTTCTCTGCTTAACTTTGTTATATTCAGCAGTTATTTTGTTCTGTTCATCCCTGGCAGCTTCCCATTCTTTGGAAGCAGCTCTTTCCTTCTCAAGCACAGCCTCAAACTGATCGAGTGCCTTCAGATTAGGAGCCGTTCTTCCAATTTCAGCGGTCAACTCAGTTATTTTCAGTGTGAAATCTGCCTCGATCTTCTCCCTTTCAGATGGCTTTGTCTTCTGTTGAAGTGATCTGCTCAGTGAACTAAAATCGATAACCGGTCCTGGGATTGATGATCCAGTATCCATAGGGTCATCAACTGTTGGAATGTTAATCTGCTCTAGTTCACACTTCTCCAGTATATCTTGCCTCCGCAAAGTCAGTTGCTCTATTTGAGCCTCCTGTAAGTTCCACAAAGATGTCGATCAAAAGTAGGGTGAATCACAGAAACAGAGGCTAAAACAGAATCATACGTGACCATTTTGTAAATTTAAAACACCTCGGGTCATTTTTGCTAAATTATTGTACCTTTTAAATTACTGTGTCATCTGTAATTTGCGAGTTTAGAGCAGGTGAGTTGTTAAAACATATATGGAACACAATTGACCTTCATGAATCATGACTGACCTTAGACTTAATCTGACGATTGTGCTTGGTAATATTAGATGTTGCAACTGAGATCTTTTTCTTCCACCCCTGGATTTCCCTTTCGCACTCCTCTGCTTTCGACTTCCATTCTGATAATAAGCAACAGATACAGAATTTTCACATTGAGAGTAACTTTTCAGTTGACAGAGAGAGAATGGCCTAGCGATGAGTAGGCATGCATAGAGGAAGAAGCAGAAGAACTGGTATTTTTGTTAAAATGAATGAAGCACATATGTTTAATCTGTTTTATAATAATTAACGTGTATTGCATCTAACCACGCCTCAATGTAATAAAATATGTGCCTGCTTTAGAAAGAGAAAGGATGTCTGTATTTGAAAATCTTGCCAATTCATTCAATGCGTAAGTCGCCATCTGTTTGAGTTTCCAACCAAATAAGGACAAAACCATAATTAAAAGAAGGAAAGACAGAAGTACCTTGGACTTCTTCATTTAAAGCTTCAATCTCAGCATTTGCCGTCTCCGTTGCTGACTTCAATTCATTCTGCCTTTTCTCAACATCCTTCAAAGCATTTTTTAAGTTAGCCACTGTTGATTCCAGCTTGGTGATACGTGAACCCACATCCCGTTTCTTTTCATACTCCAACCTAGACACATGGAATGGAAGTTAACATAAGCTGACACAGATTCTTTACTGTACTGTATTCATTTATTTAAAATATGCAACCGTCATGGAATCAGATTCGATGCACCTCTTTGGCAAGGTTATGCATGCAACAAAACTTCAGAAATAAGCAGAATGCAAATAAAGCAACAGCACTAGAAACCACAGAGAGAAGGCATAAAATGAATACGAGAACACTTACTGGTACTTGAGCTTCGATTGCTGGTTGTGCAAGTTGAATCTTTCTGCAGCTATTTGCTCAATAGCCTTGAGATGGTTTTCTTCATATTCACGAATGTTTTTTACGCCAACAGACTCACTGAATTTCTTGTAGATTCGATCAATTATATCATTGATCCTATTTTCAAGTGATTCAATTTTTGATGCCCTTGAGTTGATAACATTTTCCAACTGCATAGAAAAATATAAAAAATAATGAAATGTTTGGGTATTTGATGAGCAGGATAGTAACATTATTAAGGACCAAAAAACACCTTTTGAAGCTCAGGCTTCACACGTGCAATTTCATCTTCAATACTGCGCTTCTCCACTTTCAATTTATTCAATTTATCTTCCATACTTTTCTGCAAAAAGAGTCATTTAAGTAGCAGTATCATATACTGCAGCCACAAACTGATCTAAGAGTGTGGCACAAACAAAAAGAAACAAAGATAACCAGATAAAAGAAAAGGGGCAAGAGAAGACATTGTATGATTGTATTACATTTACAACAGACATCTTGTGCAATTCAACAACCACTTCAGAGAAAAAAGGGTATCATTAATCATTACATTGGTTAGAAACCAATCGCATAACAAAAATGAAGACTACTTGAGCACGTCCATTAAAAACCCAGATACAATCACAAGCAGCTAGATCATTTAAGAAAGGAGCAGAATCTGTCTATCCGTACATCTAAGAATGTATAAGAACAACCGTCAACCAAACACCTTAAGCTGAAGACCTTTTTAGTTTTTATTGTCACTTGACCTCTGGTTGATGCATTATGCACCTCACAAACCGGCTTCAATACTTACAAAGAGCTATAAGAGATTCCCAATGTGAAAACTATAATGCTCAAGTCAGTTTATGCACTAAAAAGGGAAGAGAAAGGTGAAGAGAAAAGGAAAAATGAAGAAGAAGAAGGAGAAGAGAAGAAAGGAGGAGAAGGGAGTTTTTTGTCGTGTTTTCTCGGACCTAGGGTTTTCACCCGGTCGAGAGGTGGTATCAAATTGTTACATGTTTTTGACATCGGAATCATTGTACAAATTTTCAATAGGTAATAACCGTTGAGCACAAAAAGATTGTTGAATTAAGGGAACATACTACTCTAGGACTAGGTATAATCAGAATTTCTTAACTGCCACATGTAAATTAAATAAACAAGGTATCCGTATCTTCTCGAGCGACAACTGAACCAAATCAAGCTTTATGAGGTGAAGTCAGAAATATTATTTTGCTCAGCATGCAGCCTACTAATCAACAGGAAAAACCGCTATACTCAGGGTGAAGGACTTATATAACATGAAGGTAATAATTTGTTACCATTTCCAGTATTAGGTTTTATGAACTCAGTATATAGAAAAAAATATTTTTAAATGAAAGGGAAAGAGAAGACCTTCTCAATCTCAGTATATTGAATCTTCTTTTCAAGGCCGCTAATTTTTCCAGATGCTTCAGACTCTTTAAGCTGCATTTCTCTAATTGATCCAAGCTTTTCCAATTCTGATTCCAGATCTTCTTTTTTCTTCTTAAGCCCTGCACAAGGCAATCTTTTAGCACTGAAACAATCGAATGAAAATGATACAAAAGCAACAAAACAATTACCACCAACCTTCAATTTTCTTGTCATCCCATTTATGTGAACGTGCTTCCATTCCGCCACTTGTGCCACCAGTCATTGTACCAGATTTGGTTAATAAAATCCCATCAGTAGTCACAACTGACACCAAACATAACAGCAAAAAATCAGCCAACTTAGCGTCTAAAGAGATGAATCAACTGTTATACCTTTTAGTCTTTCCCCAGTCCAGCTCAGATGCTTAGCTTCATTGAGATCATCACAAACCAAGGTGTTTCCAACAGCAAACAGAATGGCATTTTCCAGTTTGGGATCAAACCTTTTGATTGTCAAGGAGAGACTTGATAATAACATTGCAGAAAAACACTATTTCGAGTCATAAACAATGATTAAGGATACTGAATCACATCAAACACAAGCTTTGCAGTTCCGCCCAAGGTGCGCAACCTCTCTATGACTGGCCTCACACGCACTGATAAAAGAGGTATAAATGTCTGTGGGGGTAGCCTTTGTTCTTTCAAATACTGCCAACAAGAAAACGTACAAGTCACAAACTGTTATCCTATTAAACATCACATTAGGGGGAATTTTTTAATGAAAAAAAAAAGAAAAGAAAAGAAAAGATAAATATTTAGGAAAGGAACACATTATTGGTCAAAAACTGATATGCAAGTAAAGAATATGCAACATCAGTAAACTTCATGAACACTTTCAGGGGGAAGGACAAAGATGAATGCCGTTTAATTAATTGGATGATTCCGCAGAGGACTCGATATATTCAATGTTTCATCTACGGTGATTAATGATGAAATTAGACATCCAAATAAACGTATGTGCATCTGCCAGAGGGCCCAAATGCAAAAGAGAAGGATGCAGAAGACACTAGAAGCCCTTCAATTTGGACAGAATGAACAAAAAATGTTGTAGATATGCTACAAGACATAATGCAACGTAAATTGAGCCAATTCCCGATAGAAGTTAAAGCTCGTACGAGACCTGGCACTGCACCCAAGACAAATATAGACCTGACTTGAAGAAATCAAGTACTGCACCAATTTAGTGCCCAGTTAAAACCATTTGAAACGAGAAACCACTAAAATAACCACAATTTTTTTACCAATATACACTACATAACTACAATCTAAAAAAGCATCTGATTACTCTTTAGTTTTCATAAGATGAATGCATCCCCATCGCTTACTTCTGATTTTAGAAATGAGAAAGTGCTGATAAATAATTCCAAGCTTTGGACTATAAGTGAGACAACTGGAATAGTCTCAACATTGAGATGAATTTACCTTGATGCATTCCTTTCCTGTATTTTCATCCTCAACTACAACTGCATCCATGAATCTACCCATAGCAACAGTGACAGCAAGGTTGTACTTCTTTTGGGTCGGTCTGCAGAGATCAGTCATGCGCCCATGAACACCAGGAAATAGACGTTTGAGAGTTTCAACTGCCTGAGACAACCTGGCATCCCTCTCATTTTCATGCCTATCAGCCTTTAATTCCCGTAGCTGATCATCTAAATCACTAATTTTTGCCTTCAACATATCGTGTTTGCGCCTGAAACACATTTACCTCCAAGTAAGCAAAAGTATTCAATATGCCATCAATCTTAAAGCAACTGACAAGTAAGAGCATCAGACAGGACCCCACCTAGATTCAACGAGCTTATCTTTCATTTCACGTTGTTCCTTCCTCACTCTGGTGAGTTCATCCTTATGTTTTCCGACCGCATCTAGGTTCTTCTTCAGTCTATTTTGCATTTGTTTCTCCTGCAACTCCAACTCCTGCTTCCGATTTTGCAACTGCTGAACATTTTCTTCCAAATTCTTCTGCGCTTCAATATCAGCATTCTGCTGCCTGTCTAAAACCTCCTTCTCATCCTTCAATTTTGCAGTTTTCGTCCCAGCCTCCTCTTTACTGCAAAAAAAAAAATAAAAATAAAAATAAAATAAAAATAAAAATTGTTATTCAATATTTGAGTAAAAGATAGCTACAGGGACTCACATCTGGTGATATGTTTCTAGTTCACTATCAACCAACTGAAGCTTTCCACCAGCATCCTGGCTTTTTTCACGCAACTCTTCAAGTTGGTTAGTCACATCCCTCAAGTCATTCTCAAGTCGCTCAACCTCCTCCGCGTGTTTTCTCTTTTCTTCTTTTTTCTTACTGAGCTCCTTATTTGTAGTCTTCAGTTTAGAAGTTATACGGGTAGTCTCTTCCTTCAACTTTGCAAGCTCAGATTGCTGCATCATCCAAAAATATTACTATTAATACTGGTAACTGAACTATGTTGGTGATATAAATCACCTAAGCCACTTTCAAGCAGAGACAGAAACAGAAATCCAAACAGGGAACTGCATCACCAGAGAACAAAAATAAAATAAAAATCCTGCTTAAATATGAACATGAGCATTCTTCAATCATATTAAATTTTTTCAGTTGAACATTCAAACTTGAATTGGTAGTTGGAAAACCAAAATGGACATTCCAACCAGATTCAATCCAAAGTCGCACAGTCCTGTCTGCATCACTTAGCTTGTCGGACGGGACAATATGTATAGTGTTTGAGGACATTCTACCATTTTCTCAAGCTTTAACCCAATAGCCAAAATTCAATCACATGCACCTCAGGGTCGATCAAGCATGCATGTACGATCAACAATATAAGCACAACTGCTTCTAAACTCCCCATTTTAACTGATAACAAATTTATAGGGTGTTACATACTTACATGGGTCTCACAAATGAGTCAGCTCACTGGAATTACTGAGAGAAAATATGACAGGAACATCAAATCTATCTCATGAATAGAACATCTAATGTATATTGTGCATAAATGGAAACTGACTCAAAGAGAAAGAGAGAGAGAGAGAAAACAGAGAGTGGATGATTAACTGCCAAGTTTAAAAGAACTAAAAAGAGCATACATTACAGCTTTTACCAACCACTGTGAAGGAGAATTAAGAAAATCATGTGGGACAAGAAAATCGTTCAAAAGTTCAGTCCAAATAAATGATATCTTACTTTATCAAGTCTATTCTGCTTCTCGGCGATCTTCCTCTGACATTTTTCAATCTCTTTCAAATACCCAGCTTGTTCTCGACTCTTTTTCTTTGCTTCAGCTTCATAATTTTCCAGCTCATGTACAATCTCTTTCCGGCTATTCTCTTCAACATCCAAGTCCTCATTTGCTTTTTCAATATCCTTCTCTATGTTTGACAGTTGCCAAAGATAGTGTTCTTGCTTCGTAGATTTCTGCATAGATATTATGGACATGAAACTAGTTGTTAACCTAAAACAAACCATACCTGATAAGTAAAAGATAAGACGTTGAAAATAAAACAAGAGAATTTTAACCGTCCAAATTATTAAGATTAACTTAAACTTTCACATACTTGAAAGCCTTGTCAGAGACAAAATTCAAGCTAAACATCTGTTTAGAAATGAAATATGCAGTACTGAAGATGTAAGTATAACAAAAAACCAGTTGCTTTTGCAAACTGATATGCTTTTCGGCCTCCTCTTTCTGCAGCTTCTTCTGCTTTTTCTCAGCTGAAATGGTTTTCTTTTTCTGATGAGCAAGCACAGCCTTTTCATCAACTTCTGCCTTTTGTACTTCTAACTCTTCATACTGCCTTTTGCAGTCTTCGGAACCAGATATTTGTTCAATTAGGGCAGTCAGTTCCTTAGGATTTTTAGAAGCAATGGACTCCACGTCTCCCTGAATCAACAAAAAGAATTTAATAATCATTTTTAGGATGAAACTTAACAAACGAATTTTCAGACCAAATTTTGGAATGTCTCCTACTAGTTGCCCCTTTAGCTGCCAGGAACGAGTTTTGAGAAATTTTGGAACATTAGAATGCTCCTCGTACATTTTGGTAAAAAAGGTGCAAATACACATCAGTAAATTTCTTCATAACTGAACTTTTTAACTAACAACTAAACTTTTGTGTTGCGCACGTACACTGATGTGTTATATTGCTGCACAAATAAGTAGATATAGTAAATATCTTATTAATGAGTAATGACTCAACACAAAAGAGCCTATGCACACGAGAAGTCACTTTATGTGTTTATGCATGAATATGACCATCTAACTCACAAAAATTTCTCCCACTGCTAATGACACGTCAATAGCTAAGCCACTTCTATAACAAATCTTACAACTATCTGTTACATACTCATTTCTAGCTGCCTTTCTTTCACTTAAAAACACTGTTCATAGCTCATATATTTTTCATTCTCTTAGTTGCAGAAGTATCAGAATAACTTCCATTATATTCAATCACGCTTCAGCAAAAAAAAAGTATAAGAAGTTCTCCTCGAACTCCTTTCTCCAAATATCACTTTCCCTTCCCCAATTTAAACAACTTGGTAAATTCAGTCTCTGAATCAAGTTGCTTACTAAATAGTTAGCAGTAAATCAGCTTATAAGTCCACAATAATAAATTCAGACAGAGAGAGGGATATCATCACCTGAAACACAAGGAAATTCCGAGCTTTGACCAGAATACCAAGTGTCTTCAGCTTCCCATTATAGTCGTCCCAATTCACAAGGCGGTTTCCAATCCTGTACTCGCTGCCACCAGCCGGCGTAATCGTCCGGGTGAACTCGAGCTCCGATCCGTCCGGCATCTGGTACACAAGCATGACATGCGCCCTGCGTCCCCTCTGCTCCTTCTCACGGTCATCAAACGCATAAATAAGGTCCCGAAGCTGAGCTCCACGGAGCTGACCCGTACGCACACCGAGCACGAAGCTTATGGCGTCCATGAGGTTGGATTTCCCGGCGCCGTTGGGGCCAATTATGGCCGTGAAGTCGTAGAACGGACCGATTATCTGGTGTCCTTTGTATGACTTGAAGTTCTCCACCTCCAGCCGGATAATTTTGCCGGAAGCCGGCACGGACGGCATTTTTGCGGCTTTGATTGGGAATTGAAGCCCTAGGGTTATAAAAAAATTGGTGGTTTCGACAGAGATTGGTAAAAGATATCAAGTGGAGGCGGTCACAGAGAACCAGTAACTTGAGAGGAAAAAATGGAGAGCTAGAGAGGGAAAAATCATGGAGTGAGACTCGGAGGAATCTGAATTTTCACTGTGTGAAAAAGGGGGAAAACCGGAAAATGCGAAATTGTTTTTCAGCTAAAGCGACGACTAGTGAGTAGTGACTTCTGTACTGCACAAATTCGAATCATTTTCATTTGGCCTCTTACTCAGCGCGCGCACTCTTGAGAGAACGCTGAATCATAAACCCGACTTTAGTGAAAAGTGTATGCTGGGTGTTTTCACGTTTTCTGTAGCTCTATATAAATTGTAGTTCAGTACCCGTTTACAGGTCCAAAATGATACACTAAATTTATAAAAAATGCTGTAAGTTATTTTCACAAATCCTGAATGATAGCCAAACTTACATTTGATTTTGTGAATGGTCAACTATGTTCGGGCTAGGGGTGTAAACAAGCAAATAAACAAGCTCGATGCTGAATCATTTATCAATATTAATTAATCAAGCTTGGACCTTAACTAGACGAGCTATACAAAATAATATAAAAAAAAAAATCTTATTTTTGAGCTTTAACGAAGCTAGTGCAGCTTGGACCATTGATCGAATGTGCCGGATATACAAAGCAAGTTGAGCTCAAGCCTTACTAAGCCGAGTTTACGAGTTAGTTATCTGTTTGTTTTTAATAGCTTTAATTCAGGCCACTCAATCTGAGTTTGTGTGAACAGAAATAAATCACAAATGATATCTCCGATTTTATTGACTAGAATTAGTTTTCAATGCTTGTTTAATGTAATAGCACTCTCTTTCATCATTCATGATACCATATTTTCTGTTTTGCCTTTTGAGTAAAGCTGAAAGGATGTTAATTGCAGAGGAGTGGCATAGAACTACAGCATTACTTGCACATACTGTGATTGTAGAACAGTGGCAAAACAGTTACAGCAAAAGGCATTCTCTAAAAAGTGAAAACTACATCTATCTTCCCCTGAAATTGCAAACCCAAAATGTACTCCACATGAACTACTTGATTTCAGTATAATCTATACCAGAAAATCCATGAAAAACTTAAGATTCTTATGGAATATTGTAACCAATGACACTTTGCCAGCGGCAACCACACACCAACATAAGCATAAAGATACAAGAAGCCAAAAGTGGAGAAGAAAATACAACAGAGATATTATACATTAAAATTCTGTTTCCAACATTCAAATCCCTCAAACCCGACCAACTACATTGATCTAACCACAAAGCACCACTAACTATGGTTAGTATCAGCTCTATCTTCTTGACCAGGGTTACTGGACCCAGTCAATCCTTCTTTAGGGCAGCCAGATTTTTCCGGAGTAACGCAGCTGCTTTGCTGTGGCAAGACAACATTTTTGTTTTCAGTTTCACTCTTAGGTTGTCCTGATTCTAACGCAGCCTCAAGTTCCCCGTGTTTAGAAATGACTCGTTGAAGCTCGTCGTGGATATTCAGAGCATCAAAGAGTAAAACCTCGTCCTCTGATGTGCTTTCCACAATCCTCTGAACAACGGGCAAAGACTCTTTGCATTTCTCTAGCATGCTCATTGTTAGATCATCCTGAAAAGGGAGGGAAAAAAGGCAAACTCCTTTAGTAGATTGTGTCAAAATGCGGATATCCCAGTTTAGAATGAAGTTTTTGTAGCTACCATCTGTGATCAAGACACACAGGCAAACCAAATCATCTATTTAAAGATAAAAGAAGTTTGTAATTTTATGAACGATGCTTATTCGCAGTTAGCCGTTCTTTTTTTTTCTTCCCTTTTTGAAAGAATGATAACGTACAAGTACGAACAAGGACAAAAAAGCTTATCGACTGTCGGGAATATGTCACAGAACTACAGGAAAATGTTTTTAATTATTTTAAAAAAGGAATAAAATAAAGGCAAAACTACTACACCAGAACATGCAAATTATTCACACTAATTGCAAAAGCAGAGATATAATATGTAAATAAAGTAACCTTGATGGGTTTGGGTTCAGTATCGGAGTTCAAAATGCTGGACAGAATATCTACAGTGTTTCGAGTCACAGCAAGGAATTCCTTTTTCTCTTCAACCGACTGGAAGCCATAACCAATGAAAGTGAGATCCTCTGCGCTTTGCGAAAAACCAGAGTTAGGAATAGGGTATCTTTCAGGAGGTGACAGTGGCTGTTGGTCAAGATAAGATTCCAAATTGTATTGCACTGAAGGCGTAGTTTCTTCTTGAGCTGCAGGAGTTCTTCTCGACTTTAATTGCTGCCACAACTTGTGAAGTTAGACTTGAGATAACAAATCAAGAATCACTATTCACCAGTTAAGGGGCATAACGAATAATACGAACTACGGGAAACNGCGAAATATCATAACTTGAATTGCTTTAAAGAAGTTATTCGGTAAATAGGAGGCACTAAGTGTACAAGTATATGCCAGAAAAATCAACGGCAAAGATCTTAGAAAGTGAGTTCAGTTCAGAAAACCATATAACTCACAAAATAAAGGCTTTCCCTAGAAAATCACAGGAAAGTAATATTTTCTTTACAAGAATCAGAAATGAACTCTTTGAACTTATAACACAAGCAATAGAATCACACCAACCTGCAAAATCTCATAATCCTTTTCCACAATTTCTATATCGACAATCGAAATAAGTAATCAACCAATTACTTCACACTATCTAGCGAAAAGGGTGTAATCCTTTCGATTATGAACATGACGGTCTCCTTAAAGCCTGGCTCAGAGCATACTTCAGTCAATAAATTGAACAATCCCCAAGAACATCCTTCCAATTCATACTATCCCTAATTATCAAATAACTACAGAGTCATTGTAAAAAAAAGGGGGAAAAAATACAGAAAGAACTAACCATGTACGTCTGACGAAACACAGGCAAGTAGGCGAGATCCTCCGACTCGCCCCAGGCCCTAATCAGCTGCATCGCCCTAACCCTAACCCCGTGCAGCGTCCGTGAATCGTCAATCAGCTTCACGATATCCTCCACCACCTTCTCCGATGCCACCTCCGAGTAGACCTTCTCGCAGTTGGAGGTGCACGCCTCAAGCAAGTCGAGTCCGAGCCGCTGGCCCATGGGGCTCTTCCCCGGCGCAAGCTTCCTCTTGATCGCCCGGACAATCTCCGCGCCGTCGTACTCCTCGCGGCCGATCATTGTGCAGATCCGGAGGTTGAGGCCCCAATTGGGCCCCTCCATGGCGTCGTCGGTGGCCTCTTCGACGATCCTGGACTCAGGAGTTGGCGCCTGGAGGATCTCCTTCATCTTGGAGCTGATCGTGCGGCCCACCTGCGCGCCGCTGGTCTTGATCCGCTCGCCCAGTGAAGACGAGGCGAGCTTCAGCTTTGACAGATCGAGCTTCTCCATGCTTATTGCTGTTGGGGAGAAAAATTATTTTGCAGGGAATTTTGGCTGTGTGATGCGTTCAATTGTTGATCGGGACACAAATTGGGAGGACTTAGACATTGCCATTCAACGAGTCCGGGCCCGGCCCGGCCCGGCCGGCCGCCGGTCCTCCACATCCTGGCCCGGGACCGAAGCGCCAATTGCTTAGGGCCGGTTCGAAGAACCGGCCCGGCACGGCCCGCAGAGAAAAAAATAAAAAAAACACTTGAGCCCGGCCTCCAGCCTGTGACCGAGTCCCGGCCCGGCCGGGACCGCCGGAACCAAAAAAAAAATAGAGCAGCCCGGGACCGAACCGCGGTCCGGTTAAACGAACCGGCCCTTAGGTGGCCGGTTCCGGGCCGGTCCGGTACCGGTTTTCGGTCCGGGTCGCGGGCCGGTTCAGCCCGTGGCCACCTCTAGGAGGACTGTGTGCGAACACGTGTCGCTATATGGGTAGTTGTTCGTAGAGTCGTTGAATCTGCAAACGTGTCGAACTCAACATTTTGGATTCGGACTCAAACTCGGACTCGAACTCGAACCATATGCTCGAGCGTTTGAAGAGCCGCATAAATGTATATTATAATATTATCCAAGTACTTTTAATTAGACATTTGAAAGTTTTGAGGCAAACACGAGCAAAATTTGAGAAGATCGTATCCAAGTAATTTTGTTTTTATTCTTTTGTTGAATTAAGTCGAAACTTCAAATAAGATAGGTTCGTCGAGCCCAAGCTCGAGCAAATGTAAAAAAGAACTAATTATGTTTTGATAAGGTCGATGCTCAATTTGACTCAGCTGATTTGCAACTGAGCGAAGAGAGTTGATTTAACAGCATTAAATTTACTTTGTAAAATTTGAAAATGCACAATATATGACCTTTAGGGCATCCGCATTTGTTAATTCTTTTCTCATTCATTCAATAAAAAAAGTACACTCTCTCTCTTCCACATCATTTCCACATTACCTTTCCACTAATTCTCTCTCAATTTAAACACACACCCATATCCCTACACATTCATTTAAATACAAATATGGGGACCCATTATATCCATTCATTCAATATAAATTTTAATATTCTATTCTCAATAAAAATAAAAATTTAATATTTTTAAATTATAATAATAAATTTTAAATACATGAAAATAAAAACACACTACAATACCAAAATAACTTAAATTAAGATTACACAAGAAAAAAATAATACAATTACAAAATATAATTTTTTTAGTGGCTAAAATGAGTCCAAATATGCTCAACTAAATCGGCACGAAGTTGATGATGAACTGTGTTATCTCGTATTTCTGAACTTCTACGGATATAATTTTGAAATTCTCGATTTGAACCCTGGACAGGTTGTGCGGGCTCTTCATCCTCGTCATTGTGCCAATTTGTTACTGCACCTCCTTCATTTTCAACAAGCATATTGTGTAAAATAATGCATGTCAACATAACAAATTTCAGTTTTCTTCTATACCAAAATCGAGCAGGACCTCTTACAATTGCCCATCGAGACTGAAGCACCCCAAATGCTCTTTCCACATCCTTTCGAGCAGCTTCCTGTTTTTCTTTAAATAACTTTCTTTTAGGATCTGACGGGCAAGGAAAAGACTTTACGAACGTAGCCCATTCTGGATATATTCCATCTGTAAGATAATACCCATTTGCATATTGCGTGCCGTTGACAGTGAAATGAATGTTTGGTGCATTTCCTTGCAACACATTATTAAATAGAGGAGATTCATACAATACGTTGATATCATTACGTGATCCTGCAACACCAAAAAAGGCATGCCATATCCACAAATCGTGTGAAGCAACCGCTTCAAGGACAATCGTAGGAGACCCATGCCCTCTTGTAAATTGGCCTTTCCAACCAACTGGACAATTTTTCCATTCCCAATGCATACAATCAAGGCTTCCAAGCATACCCGGAAAACCATGATTTTCTTCATGCATTTGGAGGAGTCTTTGAACATCACTACTGTTCGGTCTTGTCAAATATTCATCACCGAAAATTTGAACCACACTTTCACAAAATTTAAAAAGACATTTGATAGCAGTTGACTCACCCATACGTAAATACTCATCAAGGTGGTCAGCTGGGACTCCATAAGCCAACTGACGAATGGCTGCTGTGCATTTTTGAAGTGGTGACAAACTTTGTCTTCCTGATGCATCAAAGTTTTGCTGGAAATATGATGATTGTGTCTGAAGTGCATTGCCTAATTTTTCTTTGAAATACCAATCGGTCGAAAGCCACGGTTCTTGCTCACGACTCCGGTACCAAGAATGAGTTTTTTCGAAGGAATAATTCTCTTCGCATACGGAAACGCCTACGAAATATATGATCCGGGTAGACAGGATGATCAGAGAAATAATCACTTACAAGTCTGTTGAAAAAAAGAATAAAAAAGGCTTGCATAGCCGTTGAAAAAAAAAAAGAAAAAGGACAAAAAGAGAATAAAAAAATGCTTGCAAGTGGTGGCTGAAGAGAAAAAAATTAAAAAAATAAAAAAAAAGTTGCAAATAGCCATTCAATGGTATGAATGATAGTGGTGGGCCTTTAATTTACACCATTAAATGAACGCACTCACATTGGTTTGAACGTTAAAAGAGCATTTAAATGAATGGTTTTAATGACCGTTGCGGATGCCCTTAATTGTTTAATCTGCTTTGTAGAATACGGCCTTCTTTAATATGATCAATAACAATTACATAGAAAAGTGGGTTAATACTTCATAAATATGGATTATATTAACAAAAAGAAAAAAAAAATGCACTTAAATTGTTTTGTAAGGTAGAAGAGGGAGAACCCCAAAAAAAATAAAAATAAAAAAATCTTGATTTAGATTTCTTGGTGCCAAGTTCCAATTAATTAATTTCCACATCATAAGTTTCACCCAACAATTACATCTAAAAAATTATATTAGTTCAACGAATATTATTTTAGATGTTTATCCTTCAATTTATTTAACAATAATATATGTATAGAAAATATTATTTTGAATAATAAAATAATAAATCATTTTTTGAACTGAAAAATGATACATTGTTAACCTAGTAACAAGTGGAAACATCCATTTGTGTATTTTTTTTAGGGCTAATTGCTTTTTAAACCTTGACCTTTCAGCTTTTGGCAATTTAATCCAAACTTTTAGATAATTGCAATATAATCTTGACCTTTTTGTACATTTGCAAAACGAAACTTAAATTCGTCGGACGTTCAAAAAATGCCAACGTGTCCGGCTAGATATATCCACGTTGGACTGTCAGTTTGCTGAGTGGCGAATTTTTATGACAAAGACTTATATGCAGATGACAGGGATCATATGTGGAATTAACAAGTTAGGAAACATAAAACAAAAAATCCACCTCAATCAAAATTTTAAAAATGTGCCCCAAATTAAACCAATCAAGAAATTAGAGCTTATAAAAATGTGGCTTAGATTAAAAAACAAACTTATTCTAATCATCAATTTAATAAAACTAAATATCACAATTTTTTTTTTTTAAAAAGGCAAAAAAAATCCTTCTTATTTTTCCTATTCGTGAACCCAGATCCACCTCCTAAAACCCTCACGGCCACCCAGTTCACCTTTCCTGGCCAAAATCTCCTCCCCGACTCTTCCGCCAGCGTGGAAGCTTCCGGCGCGACCCTCCTCACTAACAACACCGTCGAATTTTGTAGTCGGTCGGGCATTCTTCCCCAGGCACATCCCTTTTCCGACCAGATTGTTATTTCTCTATTTAATTCATTTTGTGGATCTTGCCGTCTCCAGACTGAAGTGTGCTCCCCGACCACGATTTGTCCTTAATCGTCGTCCCCTCCATCGGGATCTAGAAAGCCTCTAAGCGGGGCGCTTTGGCCTGACAAACTCCGCCATGAATGGAAACCGAAGTCGACACCTCCTCGCCGTAGAGCTCAACGTGATCTGGAATCTGGATTTAGCGACCTGGACAACAACCACGTTGGCGTGGATCTGAACTCAACAAAATTGGCAGCGGCTGCCGCCAACGCCGGATATTGGGAAGGGGCGACATGAGGGAGGTTTTCATGGGGGTGAAGATGAATCAGGGACAAGTTTAGAGTTTTGATAGAGTACGATGACGGGAGGCTGGAGTGGCAGGGGATAGGGTTATAATTTTGATTAGGGAATTTTGGGATTGGTTCATCTTTTCATTTTTTAAAATGCTGATTTTTTTTAATAATTCCACGTAATTATTGTAGTCACACTCAGCAAACTGCAAGTTCCACGTAGATATAACTAGCCGGACACGCTGACATTTTTTGAATGTCCGACGAATTTAAGGTTCGTTTTGCAAAAGTACGACAAGGTCCAGATTATATTGCAAATATCCAAATGTTTGGATTAAAATGCCAAAAACTAAAAAGTCAAGGTTTAAATAGCAATTAACTCTTTTTTTATTTTCATTTATTTGGATATTAACATGTGTATATTTGTTTATTTTTATTTATTTGGATATTTTCACTTGTTTGTCAACCTAGTAGTATACTAGATTGACACTGTAGCATTTCCCGAACTTGAATGCAAACAACACNAAAAAAAAAAAAAAAAACTATAAATCGTGAAAGAGCTTCGAGGGTTTAAGGGAGGTGCAGCCCTGAAATTGAATTATCCAAGCTGAACTTGCAATGGCTTCGCCTTCAATCTGGATCCGCTACTTTGTCAGCAAATTCCAGTACTCCGTCTCTCTGACTCAGAAGGTAATTCGAATTCCTCTTCCATTAGCGTATACGCTTTTACTGTGACTTGATCTTATCTTGTTACTTAAAGATGTGTTTTTTTCCTCTTCCCGAACGGTGTTTTGCCTTGATTGAACAGTAAAGTTTGTGGGGTTTGAGGTTTGCGAGTATTTTGCCTTTAAAGATGTGTTTTTTTTAATCATACCCAATGGGGTTTTGATTTGATTGAGGAATGTATCTTGCGGGATTATATTTGATCATTTGGTACATATTTGAGTGGATTGACGAGGGGTATTGAGTTCTATAAATATTGAATCTTTTTGCATCTATTTGATATCTCATTCATGGTGAGGTATTGCCTTGATTGAAGAATGAAGCTTTTGGCCTTATAGAGGTATGGGGCATTGAGTGGATTGATGAGGTATAATTGAGTTCTCTAAATATTGAATCTTTGCATCTATTCGATATATCATTCATGGTGAGGTTTGCATGATCTTTTTTCCCATTGTTTCTTTTTAGATGAAAATTTGGTACTGAGTTTGACTTTGTATTTGAGAAATTCATGATCCAGTGCATAGATAAAGACTCGGGTCTTTGAAAGAGGCGAGAGATTAAAAGAAAAAAAATGTTATTGCTGTTTTATTGGTGACCATTTAGCTGGGAGGAGGTTATATTGATATCGAGAGTTTTATTGTTTACCTCTCCAGAGAGTTCTTTCAAGCCCGTTGTCTATATGTTTAATTCAAAGTTTCTTCGACTATTTATATTTTAAGTTATTCGATGATTTTGTTACAATATGGACTGAATATAGTATCATTTCTATGATTGCAGACTTATGTAGGAGACCATATAATGAGCGGCAGTAGACTTGATGCCATATTGAAAAATGTTTTCATTGGGAAGTTGACTTTCTTGCACGGCAACAAAGGAGAAGAAATGGTCCCGACTATCGATTCTCGTGGTGGAACTCTTCTTGTTAGGAAAATCTCAGATGCAGACCCAACGTAAGGTCCTTAATCTGAACAAAATATTCAATTGCTTTGAAATTAAAACCATTTACCCTATATATATGTTATTTTTGTCATCTTTTATCAATGGAATAGTTCACACAAAGTTATTTGCTTGTTTGATGGAATTCTCTTTCCTGTTGCTGGCTAAGGGCATGTTTGCATACAAATATCTGCTCAAAATGAGTTTTTTGGTTAATTTAATTTTGAAAAAAATGGTATGGTTAGTTGTTAGTGAGATTTTAATTTTATATTAAAATGATTTTTAAAATAAAATAATTAAAGTGGATTTTATGTAAAAGTAGGAGAAAGATAATGTGAAGTGATAGTTAGTTAAAATTATGTGAGTGGATAAGTAGTAAATTAAAGTTGATGTTATATTGATAATATTGAGAATAGTGGAGTTGAGTTAAAGTTGAGTTAGATTTCGAGTATGAATTGAGTATGGATTGAATTTTTTGATATACAAGCACACCCTTAATTCTTAGCTTTTTTCTATTTACAAAGGACTCATATCACGTTTTGGTAGCAAAATCTCTCCCCAACTATTTATTTTTCTTTCGTTCTTCTTTATTCATTTATGTATTTAATCTGTTATCTTGTACTATTTGGTTTTTGGGATAAGCTGATTTGCGATGTATCGGTATTTTGACAGGAAAGTTTATGTTGGGGATGTTGTAGTTCTAAAGGACCCTACGGACTCGGACAAATATATTGTCCGTAGATTAGCTGCTATTGAAGGATATGAGATGGTTTCTTCTGATGAAAGTGATGAGCCTTTTATCCTCGAAAAAAATCATTGCTGGGTAATAGCGGACAATGAAAATCTAAAACCAAAGGTATAAGCCGTTTATGCTTGATTCAAATACATTTCTCTTTTGGCTAGCTGCTGTTTGATATGAAGCTTTTTTTTTTTTTTTTCNTCAGGAATCCTATGATAGTCGAACATTTGGTCCAGTTAATATGACAACCATAGTTGGTCGAGTCATCTATTACCTAAGGAACGCCGTAGATCATGGACCTGTCAATAATAGGTTAGCTATATTTCAGTTTAAAGTCGGAAAATTACAAAAAACTGCCCTTTCGATTTTGGCTGTGTTTGGTAAGCATATAAGCTGGCTTACAACTTATTTGATTAGTTTATAAGCTCCATGTATTCAAATAAGCTTGGTTTGGTAGGACGAGTTTTTTAAAAAAACTCTAGCTTATCTCATAAGCTTCCTTTGGTTGCTTTTCAAATAAGTCCATTGGAATTTTTTATTCCAGCTAGTTTATCAACTAATTTTACCATACTTTTATCATATAAGCTAATTTTTCAGCCATAAGTCATAAGCTATCAACTGTAAAATCAAAATTCACTAAAAAGCTATAAGTTAGCTTATCAACTAGATTTACCAACATAGCCTTAGTCTTAGTCTAGTTGCAGAAAAATGGAATCTTGATGTTTGTATTTGTTTTATCCTCTCTTCATCTTGTTGTGCAACATGCAAACTATTTCTCTGAGGAGAGTATTCATATATTCAGAAGATAATTGATTTTCTTAGTGGGATTTAAATTCTGATTGGCTGTAATGCTCAAATTTCTCTCTTTTTTTTTTTTCTTCAGCGATTTTAGTGCTGGTCAAGATTCACCTGTGCTTGCCATGGAACTTGATGTTGATGAGATGATGAAAAACCATAAAGATAATTAGTTGTACGCGTCTCTTTGTGGAGAAGAAGGTTGTGTTGTACTGAGTCTTCGAGTTTCCATGCTAAATGGCTATAATCATTCAGTATCGTGTTTGGCGTTTCTCAAGCCTCGAGCATGAAATAAATTTGCAGATGCTTGATATTGTTGATTGTTCATTATATATGAACCAACACTTTGTATCTGTTTTAATTTGGTTACATCCACATCTCTCTTTCTCACTCTCTTTCACTCTAAAATTGCATTATTTTAACAATAGTTCGAATGTGGTACTTCATGGTTGCAGGAAAATTTGTTATGTCGATAAGTTTGGTTATTGATTTAAGACCTTTCAGATAAGGTTCTTCAAGCCGAACCGGTTTTTAAAGCAAAATTATCAATAATTCATTGGTTAAGAGTAGTGATTGAATCGGCTTGACCAATATTTAATTGTTAATGTTTTGAATATAATATAATATTTTAAATAACATTTTTTTTTAAATAAAGATGTCTTTAATTACACATTTAGATAATTTTGAACAATTTTAAACTAACAGATATAATAACGCAATCAAATATATATAAATGTGTATTTTTTTGTTACTAAATATATATTGAGAAACATTAAAACTATTTTATTATTAAAAAATGAAAAAATTGACCTTGTGTGACTAGCCGGTTTTGACCGAGTCGACCAGTCAAAAATTGATTCTTTGGTATGCGGGTTTTTAGGAGAGGATTGGCCAGGTGCTCGGTTTTTGGTCCAACCAGTGTAGTTCGGTTTTTACATACATGGTTTAAAAAATAAAGAGCGTAATTTATTGATAGAATGTATTAATTTAAACAATATACTTTTGTTTGAAAATATTGTTCATCATTATGTCTCTTGCCTAAAAGATTTAAGCTACATCATTTACCTTCAAATCTATATATTATATAATTGCAGGCAAGCTTCAATAAATTTTATTCAGCCAACAATTAATAATAATATGAGTTCATTTAATAAAAATAGGTGTTCATTTAATAAAAATATATTCACCATTTAATAATAATATTTAAATTTCAGTTACACAATTTATTTTGACAAGTTCTATTTTGGATGGTGCCCATTTCTGTAACGTCTTTTTATGTCATAAAATACAAAATATTTTAGTTTTATTTGATACTATATATTTTTTGGTATTATATAAATAAATATTTCACAACTAATTAAGAATGACTACAAATATCTTTTTTTTTTCTATTGGAGTCATACAATAATAAAAAAATATTTGTTTCGATATTACAAAGATACATCAAATATTTTAAAAAATCAAATCCCAACGAGTCGATAAAGTTTAACGATAATGATTTGTTGTGATGGGGATTCTGACGATAGGAAAATCAGGAACATTGTATATAAAGAAATGTTTAATAATATTTAGATTCACTTTTTTAAATTATTATTTTCTCATTTATAAAGTTATGTTTTTTTATTTTCTTCTATATTTTTAATTACTTTCTCTTTTATTATATCGTTTTTCGTGCAAATGCACGGGTAAAACTAGTTTTATTTTATTATCACATTTACGAAGTTTTTTATTTAATTACAAAACTGCTAACTTTGATAGTTTATTTATGGTTGATTTTTGATTTATTTTTGTTAATGGATTTTTAAATTGCATTATATTTTTATTTATGTCAAGTTTATAAAGAGTTTATGTATGTTTATATTTTGAATGCCGTATTTTACAAAAAAATAAAAAATAAATCAATAAATAAAAAATTGTGGTAAACATGTAAAATAACCAAAATATAAAGCAGAAAAGTCTTCTATTATTTCTCGCGTGCCATGCTAATCTTTTCCAGTTACTAGACTGGGCTATATGAGATTGACAATAATGGTAAAGTCTATTTTAGAATACGAAAAGGAAGTGTTGCAATGGTTTGATGCACCATCTCGAACTAGGGTTCCCATGATGACCTTGCCATGCTCGAGATGGAGATGATCATGGATGTATAGATCGAGCTGCGATATCCCGAGTCATCTAACAATGCTCGAGCCAGTAGGAACTAGGTGGTTGCGAATAATACTTATAACTACAAATTAAAAAGAATGGAGTTATTAAGGAAATGACCGGGAGGAATGGATGGACGCAAGATCTACTATATTTGTTCGGAAGATTTTCTTCGAGATCACTGATGATCTAGGAAACTTGAAAAAGAGGTAAACAAGTTCTTTCAAATATAAAAACTATCAAAATATTTTCAAATACAATGATATACGTAGAAACTAATTTGAACGTTGAAATATTTATTTCAAGAATTTCCCAAGCTTTACAAGTCGTTCACCACGAAAGTTTAGATCGATAAAAGTACAAAACACATCCCCCTTATATATTAATCCAGAACGTGTTGAGTCTATGTGGCAGGCTCGCATGCTTCGGGATCCTATGTGGCAAAATTACATGCTTCGTTATTAGGCTTGGATAGATTTAATTTACTTCTAATCCAAAAATATTTAGTTCAGATTATCTATAATTATTTATGGTAGGGGTGGGCGCGGTCCCGGACGGTCCTGGATTTGACTTGTTCGGATACCGATCCCACTTTTATGAATCGGTCCATGAACGGTCCGGGATGAAGCACCGTCCCCACCCATGTAATACATGGGTGTTGTACTAGCATAGTATGAATTTAAAATGAAGGATAAAATGGAAATTTAATATTGGAATATTTATATCAGGAATTCCCCAAACTTTACAAGACATCCACGTTTGTTCTTACCATAAAAGTTTCGATCAATAAAAGTATAAAACACGTATAGTATAGTATGAATTTGAAATGAATGGTAAAATGGTAATTACACATAGTGAAATAACCCAAAAATATCTCTGACCTAGGAAAAATGGTCAAAATAGTCGGGCTGCATATGCCCCATAAACTCCGTACCATATTTTTAAGATGACAAATGCTGGGGGCACGCAAACTTTCATGAACTCGTATAATGTAAAAGTATTTATTATCTAAATTAGGGATATGTTGTGTTTACTATAACAGTATACTTAATTGGCAGAGTACAATCTTTTTTAGAGAAACTATAAAGTTTTAAGTGGTCCGTACTATGTAAAATTGCGAGCTAATTAGAAAGCTTTATTTTATAATACAACACTAATGTACTTAACCAAACTTTGCTACATCTGATTTCCACAAAGTGGTTAATATTTGATTTCGTTGATCATTACTATGCTCGAAAATGAAATAATTCCATTTGCATTCCTTTGTTGAAAGCTCATTTTTTGTTTATTTGTCATAGTTTTAAAAGAAGTTTGAATATTACAATTTTAGTCTGTTAATTTTGAAAGCTCACAGATTCGTACTGATAACTAAAAAAATACACGATACATGTAAATACGTAATTGCATCAAATGACTTGAACTATAAATTCATGTTTGATTGAATTATTAGAGCTCTTTTGCTCTCGAACGTAATCTGTTCAGATCAATATTCAAACATGCGACGTGAATTCAATTCAATTCATCCATTTTATAAATTCAATTAATCCATTTTATAGCCAATGCACAAGGGTTCAAAGGCCAACACATTTTGTTGCATCAACTAATTCAAGATGATTCAAATTTTATAAGATTGTTGAAATGATTAACTCAATATAGTTCAATTTGTCCATATATCCAAAAAAATGGTGGATACTAACCACTTAGAAATTGGGAGGTAATATGGGTTTTTTCATTCTTCAAACTTTTGCAACAATTAAAGAGAAATTAGGGAATTGATTGGGAATCAATTCAAACCATACATCAACTAATTGTACACAATATTAATGAAAAGATGAACCATACCACTTGAACGAAAAATTAATCCCAACACTTTAACTATAAGTGTTGTATTTTCCGTATTCTCTATCTATTTTTTATTAATGAAAAAAAACAAAAAAGACTGTTTTCAGGTCTTCTCCAAGAGCCGTGCTACTGGGTTTTACTAAAGCATTGTTTGAGATCACAATTGGCCAATATGAATCCAATCAATAAAGTTGTTTGGCAAAAGACAGGTTGTACTGCAGAATAAAACAGGGCATTAATTTTGATTTGAGTGATAAAGGATTTAATTTCTCCTTTTCAACAGGGACTACATTATATTTTTCAATCAATAGAAACCAATGACAAGGAAATGTCATTATATAATTAAATAGTGTTTCTACGCGTATTATCCGTTCAAAAATAATATATTGTAATAGAAATAATTCCTTAGATGATTTTTTTTTAATGTTTTAAAATAGTGTAACTAATTGTTAATTAATTGAGAACTATATGCTGTAAAAATATATATACACAGTGGACCATTTTTGAAAATTTGTCCATTTATACATATAATGAAACAAAATTGATACATAAATTCAAAAAACTCAGCATTTACATATAAAAAGAGATACATAGTTCTTCAATCAACCTTGATCCAACAACAATTGATCCGAAAATCCGACGGCTGAATATTACCAAACAAATAAATTCACATTGGCATGCAATCTATTCACACACACCCCACGACAAAAACACTTGCTATTAATTAATTATATTATCATAAAAAAAAAACAAATAATAATCCAATAAAATAAGGAAAACCAACTACCACACCACCATATATACATATACTCAAACCTTATAAATTACCAATCCACACCCTCAAATATTTCCCTTTTATTCTCTCTTTTCACTACCCTTCACTCATTAACTTACACTATGGACTCATCATCATCATCTTCACCATCACCATCATCATCACCATACACTAACCCGGGGGCCGCCGCCCCAAGCCGGTACGAAAGCCAAAAGCGGCGTGACTGGAACACGTTCGGGCAGTACCTCCGCAACCACCGGCCGCCCCTCGACCTCGGCCGCTGCAGTGGGGCCCACGTGCTCGAGTTCCTCCGCTACCTCGACCAGTTCGGGAAGACCAAGGTCCACGTGCCCGGCTGCCCGTTTTTCGGCCAGCCCGACCCGCCAGCGCCCTGCCCCTGTCCGCTCAGGCAGGCGTGGGGCAGCCTCGACGCCCTCGTGGGCCGACTCCGGGCCGCCTATGAGGAAAACGGGGGCGGCCCGCCCGAGTCGAACCCGTTCGGGGCCCGCGCGGTGAGGCTGTACCTGCGGGAGGTGCGGGACCTGCAGTCCCGGGCCAGAGGGGTCAGCTACGAGAAGAAGAAGAGGAAGCGGGTGCTGCCAGCGGCGGCGGCCGGGCAGCAGTCGGAGTCCGGCGAGTGCCTGGATTAGGGTTTGTG